GGGCAGGACTCAGTTACTGAGAAGTTCCATCACACACACAGCCGGGGTGTAACGAATGCCACCAGCCCAAACGTGTGTCAGAGACCTTGGTCACCTCAAACCACTCCTGTCTACACAACTGCTGCTCCCCAAGTCCCACGGCCCTAGAACACCACCTGCATCATCTTTGTAGAAATGTCTACATCCTGGAGTTACAGCAGGAAGCACAGAGGACAGAGGTCAGGAAATTTCCTGTACCAGGAAGTGCCAAGGAGGTTGGTCACATAACAGGTATTTATTTTTGGTCTGCAATAAAAATACGTCCACAGCCAGACAGGGAAAGAGGAAGACAGGAGAAAATCGGGCTTGTGGTTTTCCACGTTCTTGTCAGGAAAGGAAAACCAAATATGAGGACATAAGTGACAGTCTGGGACCAAAGACAGGAAGTAAAAATCACTAGCACAAAATGGGATCTGAGCAATGTGGGGAAGCCTGGAAGGGCCTCACAGAGAGCAAAAAGAGGTAAAAAAAATTATCTCAGAAAGCACTCATAGGCTTTCAAAAGTATGCTTCTCCCGGATTTTCAAATCAGGAAACAGCTTTCAGAGATAAGCCCCAGATGGCACAGCCGACTGCTACTCCAGATTCGTTGGCAGTGCTTTTTTTCCCTACCAAGGGCAGAGGCTGAGTTCTTTTTAACCATGCACCAAGCACAGAGCCCAGTGCACACAAGAGGCACTCAAAAACATCTGTTAAATTAAATATTGATTCCTATTCATAATGACCATTACACAAAGTCATGCCCAGACTGTTTGCTTAGTGACGAATTCTCATAATGTTTCACAAACATCTCCTTCCATGTATGACATGAGATGTTCAAACAAGATGACAGGACATGGAGACGCTAGAAAGAGCCTTAATAAGGGGAGCAACCATTCCCGAGCTCGAGTGGGCCAGCGCTCTAAGCCCGACAATCCCACAGCATCCCCAAGAAGCTCTGTACCTGCCTTCCCATCTTCAGACTCATGAACCCTCCACCTTTCTCACTCTTTGGCCTCTCACACACGGCACAGATCCTCTTTCGTACCATCAGACTCACACTTGAGTATTTCAGTCTTTCTTACAGTCTGTCCTGCTCAGCGACCCTCTCACCACAATCTCGATCACACAGCCTCTCTCACACACTCGTGAGTCACCCTCACACTAAGAGTCTCTCTCTTACATAAACACGGAATTTCCCCCAAAGGGTCTTGCACACTCTCCGCCACCCTCTGCCTCTGGGTTACACACACATTCAGTATCCTTCTAGTCCAGGAAGCCTCAGTGTGTGTGTGTGTGTGTGTGTGTACGCACACACACACACACACACTTGGAGTCTTTCTCACACGCTCAGTCTTACACTTAGGGTCTCTCACACTCCTGGAGTCACCTCCAGCTCGCGGTCCCTCTTAACACGCGCAGCGTCACGCTCTTACCCGCAGCGTCTCTCACGTGGCCCGCCCGCCCCGCGCCCTTTCCCAGGCCCGCATCCTGCCGGAGGCAGCTGCGGCACAAGCGGCAGGGGCGCAGGGGCCGCGCGGAGAGTTCGGCCCACAGGACGCGCGAAGAGTTCGGCCCCACAGGACGCAGCCCTGCCCTGCCCTGCCCTGCCCTCCCCGCGTGCCTTCTCGGGGTCCGTTACCTCGCGGGTGGCCAGGCACCAGCGGGATGCTCGGTCGCGCTGCCGCCTCGGCTGCCACGTCTGCTCCAGGCCCCGCCCCTATCACGTAAGCTGCCGCCGGATCGCGACAGCGTGCGCCGCGTCGGGACAGGACGCTGTGCTCGCGTGGCACCTGCGGACAGCGGCTCCTCCCAGCCTCAGCGATTTGTCTGGCCGCGCCCAGGAACCCACGTGTGCCCTCCGGCCTCTCGGTGCACTAGCAGTCAGCCCCCAGGCCGGTCACGCCGGGCCCCATGCGGGCCGTGACAGGGGCCCAGCCACCCTCGCCAACTGGTAGTCACCCCAGGCTCCGAGGGACTCAAAACGGAGACGCTCCCGCGGAGACCTCTAACCGACCACCAAACCTCGTTCCTTTGTGTCCCACACTCAGGGGGCCCACATATAGCTTACACAAACAACCTTCTTATCCCCGTCACAGCCAACCCTCCACCTCCAGATCCTAGGAAGACACAAACTCGGGACTCGTCCTCTACGTTCACAATGCAGACGTTCACTGAGACCCCCCGCCCCGCAGGTACATGGACACTGCTGGGATTCCGTAGCCAACCGCGGGACTTGCTGGGGCTCGGGCTTGAGGCCACTTTTCCATCCTCATTTTGCCTGACCCTCCTGACACCCTCCTGCCTTTCTGTTCTTCTGGTTGGTTGCTCCTTCTCCATCTCCTAGGGCCCCTTTTCCTCTGGTGGCTCTGTGGCTCTGTCTAGGGCCTCCTGACCACATAGGCAGCTGAGTCCTCCCTCTCAGCTTCCTGTCCACACTTTAAGCCATGATCCTCTCCTGGGTGATGGAGTCATTTCCCCCAGACACATATTCACAACTGCACATCTGGTTACATACTGACCACACCCAAATCCCTGTTCCCCACCACCCAACCAGGTGACCCAGCCAGAGATGGACAGCACCCTGGACCCCCCTCAAGCCCCCCAGGCTCTGCATCTCATCTTTTTCTTCTCCCCAGTGGTAATAGCCTCCCAATCCCTATCCTGCTCCCTCTAACTCATCCCCACAGGGTATACAGGATGCTCTGAAAATACAGATTGGAAGGTATTCATATCTCCTCTGCCTAAAAACACTTCCATCCTACTCCCTATAGACCTGAAGTGATCTTTAAAGAGTCCTCACTAGTGCTTCCCTCACGCTCTCTGAGTGGAATACCTTCTTTATATGTATGTGTATATTTGGAGTCATTAGAGTCTGAGTCTTTGTCCCCAAGGTTGGTCCCTCCTGCCTACCTGGCCAGGCAGAGAAAGAGCTCTGGACACTTCTGTCAGTCAATGGCAGCCAGTCCACTTGTCCTTGCAAAAACCACATATACGACCTTCCAGCTCCCAGTTTTACCAGAAAGGGGACCAGGTCTGGAGTGGGTCTTCCTCAGGCTGGTCCGTCGTGTGTGGGGTTTTGACTTCGTGCAGGAAAGATTTCACAACACCAGTTCAGATGATTTTGAGAGTATGTTTAATAAAGCTGGGGACAGTGAAACAAGGAAGTGCTCTGCAAAGAAGCAGCAATGGGAGAGAGCCTAGGCGGGGCTTCTTTGAATTTCTGGAAATGTTATAGGAAAGAAATGAACCTAGGCGGGGCCACTGTAGCTCACCAGAGAGTCAGAGGATAGAGGAAGTCACAGGAGAGATCCTTGGTGGGGCCTCTTTAGCTCCCTAGAAATATAAGGAAGAAATGAACCAAGGCAGGGCTGTTCTCAGTTCACTAGGAAGTCAGAGAAAAGGGGACCTTGGAAACAGGCTCAGGGGGTTAGCCTGGGACAGTTTGCTGCTGCCCACTGCTCCCCTGGTTGCAAGTCTCTTGGGGACCCCTAGAGTTTAGATGGTGCACTCCTGAGAGGGAAGAAAGAGGCGGGTCTGCTCCTGGGAGGGAGAACATGCTCTGGGTCCTTGAGAGTTTTAAAGTCTGGGAGTTTACAGAAGGACTTAGGGAGGATCTCAATAGAATATTCACCAGCTTTATGCTGATGTGCCAAAATGAGATTTACTCCCTTAACTTCACCTGTCCTTGGGTATGGTTGGCACAAATGGCACTGATTGGATTTTTGCTATCTATCTCCCTGAGTAGGATGATTTAAGCTATTTACCCTCTGGTTGGGAGGAAGCATAAAACACTACTAAGTGTCCTTGGTTAGGGAAGATAGGATTTTCTTTTTTTCTTTTTTCCTTTTAAAGATTTTATTTATTTTTAGAGAGAAGGGAAGGAGAAAGGGGAAGAGAAACATCTACATCGATAGGTTGTCTCTCACACGCCCCCTACTGGGGACCTGGCCCACAATCCAGGCATGTGCACCAACTGGGACTCAAACCGGTTACTCTTATTTTCAAGCCAACGCTCAATCCACTGAGCCACACCAGCCAGGGCAGGATTTTCTGATTTACTAGATGGCTGTAAACTGCCTGGCCTTTTAATCTGTCTCAGTTTCCCTGTTCCACTTGTCCTGGCTTACTAGCCTGTCTCACCAGGCCTCTGGCTTCACTGCCTCACACCCAGCTGGAAGCCCACTATGCACCAAGTACTGAATCAATGTCCTCCAACACCATCCTCAGGACTACCCTGCAGCACATTTATTCGTCCCCATTTTTTAGATTAGCAAACTGAGGCTCAGGGAGGTCAGAATGAGGTAGGATAGTAAGAAGCTAGGAAAATTCCTGGGCAAGTGGAATGGGGAAACCAAGACAGATAGCTGAACAAACTGGCCAAGCAATTTACAGCCAGATACAGGTTACCAGGGTGGAAAGCCCCGGGTGCCTAGCAACAGGCAAGACTGGTGCCGGACCTGGCCCCCAGGGTGGCCTTTCCTTCCCTGGCATATCCCCTAGCTACGGGGTTTAGAACCCCCTGACCTTTCCTCCCTAGAGATAACATCTAGGCCGCAGCTGTATTTCACCTCCAGGCCCCGAAAAGCAGTAAAACCAGGCAGGAGATGCTAGCACCAGCTTCTCTGACACCGACCAATCAGTGCAGACCATGACCCTGAAAGGCTACAACTGGAAAAGCTGATGAATATTCTATTGAAACTCTTCCTTAAGACCTCCCCTAAACACTCCCTCTTTCTTTTCTTCCTTCCTTCCTTTCTTTCTTTCTCTCTCTATCTCTCTCTCTTTCTTTTGGGATTGAAGCTTTTTACTATGGGATATACACAGTACTATTACTTTTAAGACACTTTTACGTCACGACACTCTTTATTATGGAAGCCAAACAGTTCTGTGCTGTAATTGAGACATTTATACAAAGTGACACTTAGGGACCCCTTGAGCTAGATATCAGTGAAGGCTGACATACACATCATTAATAAGTATACTGACACTCATCCAGAATTAGGGTCCTCATTTATTCCAGTTGTGCTTTTTTTTGGCAGACAGCTATTATGTTTTACTTTAGTACCATATTGTGAATACCAGAGAACCTGCATTTGCCAGGGAAAAATCTCCTGAGATACAACGTCATGAAGTAGAATGGTGTAGTCTAACTCAACCAAGTCATCATTCCTTTGCACTTGCTTGACAGTTTGAATTTTTACCCTTTTATACCATGTGTTTTCAGTAGAATTCTGACATATTATATAATCACAGCCAAATGTTGAAATTGCCTCATTGCTGGATTTACCATTTCCAAAACTGGAATATTTTGTGCTTCTAGTGGTTCCTTCATGGACTTGAGTTTTTAATAAAATGTATTAGCTTCTTCATCTGGGCTCTTTCCAATTTCTCCTTCAAATGTGAAGGTGACTTCTGGTGCCATGTCCGGAGGATAAAGTACTGCAGCCATGCAGTTCACTGTCGCTTGTTTTGGGATAATTTCTTCCACAGAAAACTTAAGGCAACACTTATGTCTTCTTCTGGAATATCCTCCAAGCTGGTTTGACTGACTGCACCAGAAACACCTGGGGGTGGAGGTGTGGTGTCCCCTGATAGTAGTTGCAGTTCTGCTCTAACAAAGCCACCCTGGAGCCTGCACAGTGGACCAGTGGGATTTCCATCCTTGGTGAGTGGCCGCAGGGAGAGCACAAGTCTGTTCAAGCTTAACCAAGTGCACTGCCACCACCCAGCCTGCAACCGGGTTGCCCTAAACTCTCAGCCTTTAAAACCCGCAAGCCGAAGGACACAGCGTGGCTTTGCCTCCTGTGAGCACACCTGCACCTCTCCCTTCTCCCTCTTCTTACCCCACAGGCACGTATCTCCTAAACTCTTAAGGGGCACGTATCTCCTAAACTCTTAAGGGACCCCACGAGACTTGCAATGAGCAGCTGCAGCTCAAGCCGGGCTTGCCAAGGCCCCTCTTTCTCTCACTCTCCAGTGAGCTGACAGCAGCCCCGCCTAGGCTCATTTCTTGTCCCTAACTTTCCTGGGGAGCCAAAGCAGCCCCACCTAGGCTTTCTCCTGTTGCTTCTTCTATCCTAAAGCCTTCCTTGTTTCACTGTCTCCAGCTTTAATAAGTGCATTCTTAAAATCACCCAGACTTGTTACAAAATCTTTCCCACACGAAGTCGGGAATTCACATGCTGCAGGCTGGCCCGAGGCAGACCTGCTCCAGCCCAATTCCTGTCCGGTAACAAAGAGACTCCGCAGGCTCCTTTGCTGGAGCTGGCAGCGCTTGGAAATGAACCCCAGTCTGCTGTGACTGCTGAAGCCTGTTCTGACCCCATGCCCTCTCTGCAGCAGTGAAACAAAGGGTGGCAGTTTGGATGAAACATTTCAGGGGTGAATGGGTGGCTCCAAAGCCACCACAAGGCTATAGCATGGATAGGTGGGTGTCAGGGCAAAACTGGAAGTCCAGCTGGACAGAGCCTGGGAGTAAGGGTTTGCTCACTTTCCTGCTGTCATCCTTTTACTAAGGTCGGCGAAGCAGCTCAACCTCTGTATCCTTAGGCATCCTCCCTCTCTCGGGGCCAACGCTTCTTTCAGGTTTGGCCAATAACTAGGGCAGTGAGAGGGTTCAGAGCGCCCTCTAGTGGCTCCCAAGATGTATCAAAGCCTGAAGCCCAGGCTGGCCTTGCCCTGCAGAGGCAGGAACTGAAGATCCCACCACCCAGCTGGCCCCTGCCTGGCTCAGGGCTCCACACCACAGAATTCAGGCCTGGGCCCCATCCTTATGCATGTTTCTCTGTCTTTATCCATTTCCACTTGGTCCCCAGTGTGTCAGTCCATCTCTGCCCATCTTGGCCTCTGCTATACCAGTCTCAGCCTAGCCTCTTCCTCCCTCAGTCTCACTCTGTCCCCAAAGCAGGACAGATGGTGGCCAGATGCACTGAAACAAAGTACAAGGGTGGTGTCCTGAAAAGAACTCTAGGTTAAAAGGGTTGCTTAGACCTGCAAGCTGAGAGAGAAGAAGCTGGGAATGGGAGTCCAGCCAGGGTGACCTGTAGGATTGTCTCTGGTACCCAGATCTGGGGTGGCACGTGAAGCTCATTGACCAGGCAGGAGCAGCAGCTGCATTCCAACAGGAATGTTTCAGTTCCTGGTTCTTGGTTCTAGGAGGGGAACTAGCTTCCAGGAGAGGGGACAGGAGATTGAACCCGAAAGAGGTAGATAGGAGCCACACTTTGGTCCTGAGAGAGACCATCGAGGCCCGAGGAAAGGTCTAGCCTCGGACTATCTGCTTCTCTAGCCCCCAACCTCTCCACTAGCTCCCTCCTCTCATGCTCAGAGTCTAGCCTAGGCTGGGGTACTTACAGCATCCAGAATACTTTTATTGCCATAATCGAGATACAGCCTGCTCAGAGCCCGATACGGGGCCCAGCACTCAGAAACAAAGGGAGAGACAGATGCTGGGTATGTACACAACAGAGAAAATCCAGCGCCACAGAAACCTTGTGAGAGAGCAGCACACTCCAACCTGACTGTGGCTTTGGGGCCCCACCCTAGAGGGTAGAACCAAGTCTTGGCCTATGGCTGTCCCCCACTTGGAGACCACTGCCCCCAAGGCAGATACAGACTCTCCAGCCCTGCTCTCACAGGAAGACCCATGCAGCATCTCTGAGGCAGACAGATAATCTGCAGAGGGGTTCCAAGGCACCTGGCTCTCATAGGGGCCCACTCAAGTCTCTGAGCTGGTCCCTGAAGACCAAACACCACTGAGCCGCCTGGCAGAGGTAGGTGCTGGGCAGGGTGAGCAGGAGCCCAGCCTCCTCTCAGCCCTGTGCCAGCCCACTTGGGTGTAGAGAAACCCTATGGCAGGGTGGCAATATGGTCGTGGGGTTAACAAGAGGGCAGTTCAGGGAAGCTGAGTTGCCTTGGCCCGCTCTTGAGTTTTCTTTCTTCATCGGCATCTAAAAGGCCATGGCACTGGGTCCTGCTCTCATCCTTGAAGCACAGTCCCAGGGCGAAAGGAGCCAGCATCAGTACTGTGGGCAACAACCCAGCCAAGGGGATCAGAGCTTCTGGGACACAGCGTGCAGAACTGGAATGTCATCTGCCACCCAGTCCCGAGCGCGGCTCTTCTTGGAAGTAGGGGAGGTAGGAGTGGGTGCCCCAGGGCCTGGGAACCACGGAAAACACAACCCAACCCTGCCTGCAGGGGAAACCGGGCTGCCCCCAGAAAGCCACAGTCAGGCTGCTGAGCAGCTGGGCCACAGGGGAGCCAGCAGCTCCAGCCACCCAGTGGTCAGTGAGTGGGAAGGATCACCCTAGGGACCAAGAGCCCATCCCGGGATCTTTGGGGGCAGGGACCACAGCCCAGTCACATCCCTCACAGGATGTCTGAAGGAGTCAGGGGCTGGAGGGCAAAGGTGAAACAGCAACAAGAGTAGAAGAAACACATGGCTCCTGAGCTGGGTATTGGACCCAGGTGCCAGCCAATCCGCCTGGGCAGCCAGTCCCGAGGTCACAATGACTCCACCAGCAGCAGCACGCTCTCCTTTAAGAGTCCCTTGAGTGAGTCCAGACTATTTCTTCCTTCCTCATTTCCAGAGAAAGTATAAGAAACAGCACTTCCTGATGGCAGATGTTTCACAACCAAGACCTATGGCCTTGGAAGATCAGTCACAAACCACTAAACTTGTGGGCCACGGCAGCCCCGGAGGCCAAGAGAAGCAGCTGTGGCCGAGCCATCCCACGTCCCTGCCTGGCACAGGAATCAGGGCCCAAGGAGCACACGTTTCAGGTAGGCAAGGGTGGTGGCATTGGCCAGCATCTCAATGTGCTCGCTGCCTGGCAGCGCCTGCAGTGATACCTGGTGTTCCTGGTGGTTGCGCCAGGTCTGGCACTGCAAGGCACTCTCCAGGTTCACAGTGCCATCACCATCGCTAAAGGAGATTTTAGGGTCGCGGTCTGGGAAACTCTCATAGTAGAAAGAGTCTGGCGTGGGGACACCAGTGCCATAGAGGCAGTGCAGCTGCACACCAGGTGGCACCCTGGCTTCAACCAGCCCCTCTGTGTCCTGCCGCATGAGCCACCCATCTTCAAAGCCAATGTCCTGGAAGAACTGGTGATAGTCACGCAGTGTGTAGTTGGTGGTGGGTGTGCGTACAAAGACCTTGTCAGGTGACCAGGTATAGTTGTAGGGCAGCAGCCAGCTGGTAGAGACAGCAGACCGCTGCTGCTCCCGGATCTTCAGGGGACTAATGACTGGGATCCGGTTGTTGTCCCCTGCAGGGAGAGGGTTCCAGTCAGTCTGTGCTCAGGAATGCAGGCTGGCTGGGCAGCATGTTCACCTCCAGGGCTCCTGCTGGACCCCAGCCAGTGGCCCAGTCAGCACATCGACATCTCTACGCTGTTAGCATCATTAGAATTACCGTGCCTGCATTCGCTCTTACTGTTTCCCTTTATTTTTGCAAGCACCTACCCAAGACTTGTTTCTTCCCTTCTGCATTTCATCACCAGGGATTTAGGCAACACACACCCACAGGGTGTGTGGGCACTGTGGGCACTGACCTTATCAAAGGTGAATCAGCAGGTTGTGAGCTCACAGGAACAATTCTCTTTCTTTTTTATTACATTGAGCTATGCAAACATTTTTCTTTTCCTAGGCTTAGGCCTGCAGCCAGCCAGTTGTGTTCTCATACCAGCTCATCATTCCACCTCCTGACCGACTGCAGAACCACAGCTCTGCCTGGCGGGGCCTGGCTCTAAGGCTCCTTAGGAGATGGAAGCCCCTCCCGAGGGGCTCATGACTCCTACCCCTCCCACTCCAACCCTGCTCCCAGACTGCAGGGCCTGAAAGCTTTCCAGCACCTGAGGCAAAGCTTTAAAGGAACTCATGGGGAGCTGTCCCACTAATCCAGGGTCACTGCTGGGAGGGGCACTGGGTCTGATCTGATCACAATGATCAGCTGACCAACAAGCAGGTCACAGTACCGGTGACTTGGAAAAGAAAGCTCATGAGATGCTTGGCACAGCCCTGGCTCATGGCAGCTCAAGTGAGGGGCTATGGGGCTCACACCCGGTCCCGGCATGGGGAAGAAAGCCCGATGGCTGCAGCTGGCAGGTTCTGGCAGTCATGAGAAACAGGTGGATTGGGGAGGAACAGAATGGGGAAAAAATATGACTTTGCACCAAACAGATTTGCACCTGCTTCCTCCTGTGTTACCACATATGAGAGGTTCCTGGCTGTTATACATGGAGGTATAACTCATAAACAGGAAGATGCAGTCCAACCTTCCTTCTCTGGGGAAAAGATGGGGATTAAAAAGTGAGGATGGGGATAGGAGAGAGGGGGAAGGCTCCCCCAAAGAACTCTGGGTCACGCCAAGTTAAGCCAGCCAGGCCGGAGCACAGCATGTGTACACATAGGCACAAGCAAGTACCTGCATGACCAAGAGTTATGCCACTCAATGTACTGTAGATGTTGTAAGAAACTTACACAGATAATAAGGGTCACAGACTAGAAAGGTGACATTATTTGGAAAAGAATACCATTCTGGAGAAAGAAGGGTTCCCCAGGAGGACATTGTAGAGGGAATGAGAGGGTGTCACCCCCAGCCCCAGCACCAGCCCCTCATGCTGAGGCAGGTAGGGTCTTACCTGAGGCCAGGACGCGCAGGGTCTTGGCCACGCCCCCCCAGGGCGCACCCAGTGCCACAAAGGCAAGGATATACTTGTCTTTCCAGGCCTGTGGCTGCTGCTGCAGAAAGTAGAGCGTGTACATGTTGCCCATACTGTGGGCAACCAGCACCACGGGGCCCCCATACAGCTGGTACATCTCCTCGATCATCTCCCGGAGGGCCAGGAAGTAGGGCCCATTTTCATCTGCAGGCCAGAGCCAAGCAGGAGTCAGGCAGGAAGGGTCCTGGGGCCAGAACCACAGACCAGTTCTCAGCCCAGACCCAGGGCTGGGTGGGTGGGGAGAATGCTAAAACCCAAGTGGGAGTGGTCTAGTTTCCCCTCAGGTTCAATGAAGGTAGGAAACCAATGGCCTCTTTTCCCCCTCCTCAGACTCACTATTTCTCCCCAGGGCTCAGAGCCTAGAAATCTTGGGGTGAAGGATGGAGCAGGACAGGAGAGATTGACCAGGGGTGATAGGTGTCCCTACTGGGCTTGATGCCATTAGCCCAAGGGTATGGAAGAGGCCAGGGCCTGTGGTGGCTATGGTCTCCTCCTCCCTACCTCCCAAGACCTCTTACCAGGGAGGAAATGAGGGTGACCACTTACTTGGGGCTCGGCGCCAGTCATAAGGGGCGCCCCGGACATCCTCACCCCGTGTGTAGCCCCAGCCCACAAGGCTCTCTACCATGGTGTGGAAATAGGAACCTGTAGACACAAGTGCACAGGATTAGAGAGGGTACAGCCAGTGCCAGCCACGTTTACCACACCTGAGAAGGAGACTGTGACACCTGCAGGAGGTCCGTGAAGGAGTCCTCTCTGCTCGCGCTGATCAGAGACAGTTCACAGGCTACCTCTTCAAACCGAGTGGTTCTTTCCACTCAGGAGTCCAGCAAAACCTCCAGCCCCATTCCCTGGAGAGCATGAGAAGGGCCACCTACCCACACTGCTTTTGCTGGGGTCCAGAAACTCCACTGAGAAGGTCTTTCCAAAGCCGGGCACATGTACATCCACACCATCAGGAAACTGGGTCACCCGGGACGTCCTGTTGTAGACCAGCCTGTCAGGAAGGGACATTGAGCTGGTGACTGAGAGTTGGCACTAAATTTGGGTGTGTCCCAATACTTCCCAGTGTCCTGAGCCACACTCCCTTCCCATCCTCAGGTTTGGTCAGTAGTATAGGGGAGGCCAAAAAGTAACTGGGGGCTCAGAGCTAGTCACCAGAGATTGCTTCTGTGCATTGTTTTCAGCTAAGGATTTTAGCTTCAGGCTCAAGAGAAATATCTGTCCCTCCCTTTAACTACGTAGAACTTGAATTAGGGGCCTTGCCCATAATTAGAGATTATCAGCAATTATCTCTTTTTGACCCACCATTATAAGGTAAGGCAAACTTCTATTTACTAAACACCTGCTCTTCTTATCATTCTGTAATGACCCATTGCAGCCCCAGGGCACCTGACCTCAACTCTAGCTCAGGATGCCTTATGTACCCATGTTCCCCCTCTTTCTCTGAACCTCTCTTGCATGTGGGGGTCTCTGACTCTCTCATGTATGTGTGGTTGCCGTGCATACATATGTATTAAATCTGGTTATTTTATCTTGCTAATCTGTCTCATGTCTATTTGATTATTAGACCAGCCAAAAGAACCTTGAGAATGGAGGCAGGTTTGTTCCTCTCTCACAGAACAAAGGAAATTTATGGATCCCCTCACCAAGGGTCATTTTAAAGACTAACCCAAGGACCCTTCCCCTCAATGTCATCCACCCCAGAATGCAGGTCTTAGATCTCTTTGGGAGAGAGATGCACCAGGCCTGGCTCTGCCATGAACATTATGCTTGACGCCAAAAAGCAGCCTAACTTCAGACTCCCATTATTCCATCACTACAGACCCAGCTCCTGCCACTCATCAAAATACACCACAGGGCAAAGGAGATGGTGAGAGCAATGCACAACAGAACCAGACAGAGACCTCCCCGCTTCCGTGGCTGCTGAGTGGGTAGACAGACAGGGCCTGGAAAAATGATGGGCAAAGGGTGGTAGAAGACAGGAGAAAGCCCTGTGCCAAACCAGGAACCCTACTCTGGCCTCCCCATTGCTAAGGAGGCAAATGTGCTGGAGAAAACACAGGCTAGACAAGCAGTCCCTGGTGGTCCTGAATCCCACCTGGCCTTAAAGATTAGTCACAGAAAGCTAACAGGATTCCCAACATTGGTCCAAGTAATAGGTACTGGTGGCCTACTCTCTTGAGGGCAGACTGTACATTATCCCTATGGCCACTTAGCAAAGCACAGAAGATTGTTCTGGAAAGCCAAGGCAGCTCTGTGCTGGATGAAAGTCTGAACAGGTCAGGGGAGCAATGAAGGCAAACAAGCCCCTCTTGGTATCAGTCCGCAACTTTAATTGGCAGGAACTGCGATCATGTCTCTCGTACAAAAATAGAAATGCAGATCGACAGCCCAGAAATGGCTTTGACAACAAACACACACAGAGGAGGAAGGAGTCAACAAAGCAGGCGTCTTAAACAACAGGGAAGGGCAGGGTGCCCGGAGAGACAGCTAGTGCATCTCCCAGAAAAAAAAGTTTAATTTCTTAGATTTCATTCATCTCATTTATTGAGCTGTGTTCCAGGTTCTACTGCTATAAAAATAAAAGAGATGTAGTCCCTACTTTCAGGGAGCTCAGTCTGAGAGGGAAAACAAAGCCCAGGGTCACAGAGTTCTAAGTTTGAATCCTGGTTCTGCCCCATATTAGCTAAGTGACCCTGGCAATTTTGTAACTGGTCTTAGGGTCCTATTCTATAAAACAGGTTTGTAAACAGCATGTCTTTCGTAGGGCTGCTGTAAGACTAAATGAAAGGAAGTATGTAAAATGTACAGTGTCTGTTCAATAAGCAGTAATTCTTATTATCGGGAAACATCCTTGGAAACAAGGTTCAATGAGGATTAGATGGAACAGGCATGTGGCGTGGGGCAGGAGAGACTGACAGCTCTGGAGAGAGGCAGGGACCTGGCTCAGGATTTGAAAGGTGAGTGGAGGAAATGTATCAGGCAAAAGGTGTAGAGGTAGATTCCAGGCTGGAAGAATAGCATCGGCATGGAGACATGGCTTTCCAGAGAGAACAAGCAGCTGGCGGGGCAGGTGTGGCCAAGCCAGAAGCAAGGGAAGGGGTGAGGGCCATGCTGAGGCTGTGGACAGGGACTGGAGCATAGAAACCACAGTAGGGCTTCAAGCACAGGTGTGGATTGCACAGGGTAGGAACAAGAATAGGGGAAAAGGGAAGAAAGTTCCAGCTGGGAGAGCACAAAGGTGGAGCCAACCAGACTGGGAAGATGGGAAGGGAGAAAGGTCAGTGACCTTGAGGTCTCTTGAGGTGGGGATGAGATGGAAATGGACTCCGGGCGTCTCTTTAGGTTGAGTTGGTGAGCAGCACCCGGTCTGTGCCCCAGCTCCCACCTGATATTGTCGATCCAGCAGTCAATGATGACAGGTAGCAGCAGTTCGAGGTTGAGCCAGAGTGTGAAGTAGCTGTCCGTTTTCTTGGAGCAGAGGTAGTGCACGACCTTCGGCTTGTCCAGCTTTGCCTCCAGTTGGTTGCCCAAATCACCAGGCACTGTATCGGGGCACAGAGCATGCGTGAGGTCCTGGGCCTGACAGGCTGGAGACTCAAGCTTTAAACCCAAAGGTCTTTTATCATCCCAGGTTAGAGTAGGCAGGGCCCTGTTCACTCTGACTAGAGTGGGAAATGGGACAGAGAATTATGCCCCTTAACCAGCTAAAAGTGAATGCAGAGAAAGCACTCCAAGACAGGCTTGTGGAGGAAGGCAATGAACAGACACACCATTGAAAGTAGCTCATACTGGCACCTGCTGACCTACTGAGGTCTCCAGGCTTTGTTAAAGGCCAGAGCCCAGTAAGGATCCAAAGGGCAGATTTTCTAGAAGGCTCTAGCATCGGGGCATATCTGGACCAAGAGTTGGAGATGGCTAGCCTGAAACAACACACCATTCCAGCCATAGCCCAGTGAGAAGTAGGGAAGACCAGGCCTAAAGGATAACTTCTCTCTACCTGAACTGACTTTTTAAAAAAAATTTTATTTATTTATTTTTAGAGAGGGGAAAGGAGGGAGAAAGAGGGAGAGAACCATCAATGTGTGGCTGCCTCTCATGCATCCCCTACTGGGGACCTGGCCTGTAACTCAGGCATGTGCCCTGACTGGGAATCGAACTAGGGACCCTGTGGTTTGCAGGCCGGCACTCAATCCACTGAGCCACACCAGCCAGGGCTGAACTAGCTTATTGAATCTACAAAGAGCCCTGGGGTAGGTGGGAAGGGGGGAAGCCATCCCCATTGCTTCCCTGCTCAACATTCAAGGCCTTTTAGGGTTTATTTATTCCCAGTGACCTTTCAGGCCTCACCTGCTCCCACATGCCATGCTCTCAACACTTACCATGTTCATCCCCTTTTAAGATTCACAATCACTGAGAGAACAACCAGCGCTTGGCACTCCTGGGCATTCACTGGGCGTGGATGTGAACCCGGCCCTGCAAAGGGCATGCGTTCTCTGTGCACCATCCCTGTGTCCTTACGGAAGCCACAGGAGACACCTGTAGCAGCTGGTTTCACCCCCTTTCATGACGTGGGTGCGGAAGTAGGGAGCCCCCAGCATGACAGCCTCTGGGTGGCATGCCTGTGAACTGGGCAGGGGAGTGCAGAGACCTTGGTCATAGTCTCCTCCAAAGGAAATGGCTGAAAGAGGAAGCCACCAGATCTCCTCTGCCTGGATGCCTTTCACCCTGGTCAGACTGCGTGGGGCCCTCTAAAAATAGCAGAGGTCACTTCCTGAGCCCTTGTGCCTAGAACTAGGACAAGAGCCACCCATGTGCCTTTCACCTCAAATTACACTGGGAAAGAACATCCTTATTATACCTACTTTACAGATGAGGAGATTGAGGCTGGGAGATGTAGAAATTGCTTACTACAGTCCCTTCCCCCTGCCTCGGGTCTTCTGTGTCACTTCTCTGGCCTCTGCTTCCACCATCAGTTTTTGAGTCCCACGCATAGAAGCTGGTCACCCTCGGATTGCTGATCTGTGCCCAAGAACAGCGTCTCTGCTGCCAACCATGGGGTTTCCTACGGTTAATGACAACAGCCTCATTCTCTGGGCAGGTTAAGATTCCAGTTGCTCTGTGGCTCTGGGCAGGGCCTGAGGCAACTCTGCTCTGACCTAGGATAACCAAGAACTGAATGACTTAATGAGTTAGCACCAATCCAGGAGAAAAGGCTGGATGCCTTTCCTGCACCACACACTTCCCAATGCCACACCCCTTTATTGAGAACTCCTTAGGCCTACACATGGCTCCCTACAGACCCCTAGGATAAAAGTCCAGATGACCCAATCAGTCACAAGCCTGCACAATCTACTTTCCCCTACCCCTCACCCAGCCACTCCATTTCAGACACCCTGATGTCCCTGTGATATGTAGCTCCCTGTGATATGTAGTTCCCTTTGCCTGGAACTCTCCTGGCCATAGCTCCAGCTGCGTACTCCAGGAAGCCTTCCCTGACTGGGTCAGTGGATTCTCTGTGCTTGCCCAGCACAGACCTCATATCTGGGGATCATCCTGCAAGCTTACAGAAGGCAGGGCCAAGTCTACCCAATTCCCATGGTTAACCTGGGCCCAGCACCTTGTGAAGCATTCCCATCCTGGTGGGAGATCCTTTGGAACCAAATTATCTGCCAACCTTACCCTTCTGTGATCAGCATCATCCCCATTAAAATACTCCCAGTAGAAAGAGCATGGGGCCCTGGCTAGTGTGGCCCAGCGGACTGAGAGCCGGCTTGCAAACCAATAGGTTGCTGGTTCAATTCCCAGTCAGGGCCCATGCCTGGGTTGCGGGCCAGATCCCCAGTTAGGAGCATGCAAGAGGCAACTGATTGATGCTTCTCTCCCTCTTTTCCCTTCTCTCTGAAAATAAATAACTAAAATCTAGGAAGGAAGGAAGGGAGGGAGGAAAGGAGAGCATGGGGATCAGGTAGACTCAGTAAATTCCAGCCTTCAGGAGTCCTGGCTGGTCACCTACACACTAGCGGTGGGTGTGAGTGACAGCCTGCATGAGGCATCCAAGGCCCCCAAGACAGATGTCTCATCCCTGCCCACCAACACAAGGAAACATGTGACTCCTGTACCATTGCGGAGGGTCAGGACCAAGAGGGGGGTGAGCAGGAGAGGTAACCTAGCCCCAACATAGCTTAGTCCAAGCAGGTCTGGAAGGATATGAGTACAGTCATGCTCCCGGGTATCTGTTCATAGCCAATGTGCCACCATTTACCTTTGTCTTTAGCCATCCTCGGATTCCCCAGGGCCTCTTCCATCAGGCCCAACGCTACCCATTTGACAAGCCTGGGGGGAGCCCTGGTGGCAGCATAAGAGAGCAATCCTTTTCCCAAAGAGCTTCCTTTCAGTAATGCCCTCTAAAACTTGTGAGGCTTAAAGGGTCGAGGGAGACAGCTCAATAGACAAGCCCAAGTCAACGCTAAAGGACCCTGGGGGCCACCTCCGAGGCCACCTTGCCCCCAAACCAGCCCTCAGGAGTGGGGCCAACGGGCCTCAGTCTTTCCAGCTAAAATATGGGAATAAAGCGAGGCAAGGTTTGGGACTGATGTGGACAGGCAGACCGATGTAGCACCGCACGATAACCCTTCTATTTACCTCCATATTCTACAAGGGAAGGTGACAGAGAGGTTGACCACACCCGCGACCTGTATGGTCAGAGGTGGACGGACCGACCCTGGTGACAAGACAGTCATACGCTCCCTCACCCTATGCTAAGAGCAGTTGCAAATCGAGAAGAAAGTCTCCCTCATCCCCGCACCCTGTCCTGTCTGACGCACGAGCGAACGGACCCACGAAAGGACGCGCGCCTCACCCAGGACCACCGGCGGAGGACGTCCGGTTGGAAGCGCTGGGTTTGAGAGCAGCAGGAGGAACAAGAGGCCACCCGGTAGCAGGGCTGCGCGATAAGGGCAGAGGTGGGGACCCATGGCGTGGAGCGGAGGGTCCAGATCCCCGGTGCGGAATCAGAGATCCAGGCTTGCTTCTAGGCCGGGCGCGGCGACGCGCTTAACCCCGCCGCTTACCGCCTCCACAGCTACCAAGCCAATCAGGGCCCACCTCCTGCAAAAGACCTGCCAATAAGGACTCGCCTCCAGCCTGTCCCTCCCAGCTGGCAGCCCTGCCCCTGATCATCTAGGACTAACTCCCTCGACAGCTCTGCGAGCCGAGCGCATCGATCGATCTAGGTTCAGCTTTGCTTACAAACTCCCCGCCAGACCTTGCTTGCCTCTGCTGGGTACCCAGCCCAGCCCTCCGCACTCGAAGTTTACGCTGCACAGCCCTCACCCTCAATTCCTGGCTCCTACCTGATCTGGATTCTGGAACGAGCTGGACTGGGTGGCAATTCACGATTCAGTGCTCACGACTGCTGAGCAACTCCGGTCAAAGCAAAGGGAAGAAGGGAAGTAAGCCCCAGGAAATTTGGGGGCCTTAGGTGACCGGAGCTGACCAGGACCTTTGCGCAACCCCCCACACCGGTTCAGGCAACCCCGGCCCAAGCAGGCAACCCTCTGCCGGGTTTAGGATGGTACAAAGAGAGGCCAAGTCAGCATGTTTCGATCCTGAGTGAGATGTATGTCTTCCTTTTTTAGGGGTGCGCAGTATGGAGTCACCCTGACAGACGGAGCAGTTCCGGGAACAGGGTTGAGAGTAGGCTTGAGCCTTGACCCTGCGCCATAGACCATTGGAAAATTCCCCCGCAGAGACGGAGGGGTGTTGGGACCTCCCAGTACACGCAAACCTGAGGATCCCGAGAGGACACAGACTACCTGCGCGAGGAACGGGGGCGAACAGAACGGGCAGAGACTTGACAGCAGGTAGTATACCAGCACTACATAACACACAGGGGCGGGGGGCGGGGGAACATGTGTTTGGAAATTGAAAGTCTTGTTTCTCCACACACTTCCTTCCAAGGGTCAGTCACACTCTGGTCTGCTGGTCTCAAGACCTCTATCCCTCCCCTCCCCTCCTTCCTTCCTTTTAGTCAGTGGCTGACCATTTCCAGCCTCTCCCAGTGCCCCTCAGTTAATCTAATCACCATTTTGGCCTGCTGCTCCTTTGTTCTTACAGTGAAATACATTGGTGGATGGAGTACCCCTCTCTTTTAAGGTCCATCTATCTCCCACCTCAGGCCCTACCCCAGGGATACCCCCCAAACCTCCCCCCCCACAAAAAACCTACCTCCCTCACCTCCATCCCAGGCCTCAGGAGAGGAGTCACTGAGAACCAATCTGGCAGGCCCATTGTGGGAGACCAAAGACCCTTCTGCCAGGGCTAGGGACAGACAGGAGATCAAAAGCCAAGAGTTAAATGGGGAGAGAATAGGGAACGTGACAGCTTGAGCCACTTTGGACTAGTCTGAACGTCTTGTTGGCCTAACAGTCTCAGGTGACCATGGGCCCCTCACAGGGCATCTCTGTTGTTGGAAGAGGCTTCTAAGATCCCCACTACCACAGGCCCTGCAGGTAATAGGAACATGGCCGCTGGGGACAGGGGTGGCAAGGCTTGGTCAGCAATGACCCATGCTGGCATCATGGAGAGGAGTCAGAAGGTGAGGGACCCCCCCCTCACATCTCACATGGTCCCACCACCCACATGGTGGCGGCAGACCTGGAGTCATCCTGGACTCTAGATACCTCCCTGACTCTCAGGCCCACAGCCAGGTGGTCATCCAGTCCCCCAAGCTCTATCCTCTCAAAGGGATACTACCAGACTACCATTGTCCCCGTGGTAGCCTCCTCACTGATGTCCCACTTTATGCCCTTATTGCTGTGGATTGTTCTCCACATGCTAGGTTGACACCAATCAACATTGTCAAGCCCCATCATTGTCTGCTTAACCCCACTCATGACCCTCCCATTGCATGCATCATAGTGAGCGAGGACCCTGCAGTGAACTCTGGCTGTCTCCCCCAATTTCCACTCCAGCAGCTCTCACATCTCCAACCTCAATGATTTCCTTGCTGCTTAGAACAGGACAACCTTCCCCGGCTGGTGTGGCTCAGTGGATTGAGTGCCAGCCTGCAAACCAAAAAGTTGCTGGTTCAATTCCCAGTCAGGGCACATGCCTGGGTTGTAGGCCCAGGTCCCAGTAGAGGGTGTGTGAGAGGCAACCACACATTAATGTTTTTCTCCCTCTCTTTCTGTCTTTCTTCCCCTCTCTCTAAAAATAAATAAAAAATTAAAAAAAAAAAGAACAGGACAACCTCATTCTTCCTCAGGGCTTCTGCACTTGTTGCACTGGCACCCGTCTGCAGTTCCCACTTTTGGGGACTCAACTGAGTTCTGCATTTAGGCCTCAGCCCAGACAGAACCATTGACTTTGAAGTAGCCCCTGCCCAGCTCCCATTAAAATATAATCACTGGAAGAGCAGGCCCCTCACCTGTCCTATTACTGTCTCCTCCTACATTACTAGTTACCACCAGCACAGTCCCTGGCATACAGCAGATCCTGCTTAATGAATGAGTAATGCACCCCCCCCCCCCTTTCCAGGATAAGGTCCTGGTGCCTCTCAGATGTGGAGAAGGAGGTAAGTGACTGAGAAGTCCACAGGGCTAGATGTGAGTTCTGGAAAAGACTAGTAAAAGGGGAGGGTGTTCCTGTGAAGGGGAACATTCTGGGCAAAGGCCAAGTGTAAGAATAAACTCAGAGACAGAAGAGCCAGGCCGTTGTGTTGTTTCCCTCAGGTGAAAGTCCAGCCAACAACCTTCACCCCTCTGTGGTATTGGGCCCTTTGCGTTCCTTCCTCACCCAAACTGCAAACTCCCCTGTCTGAACCAGGCGGGAGGCTGGGCTTGGGGCAACCCAACAAAGACCAGGGCTTCTGAGCTGGTTTGGTAGCCAGAACTGAGTCCATTTGGAGGTCAACTTATTCTCCTAAAGCTCATGGCTCAGCAGGCTCCCATTCTGCTGCCACAGCCTCCCTGGAGCCTCCCTGGAGTATGAGAGGTCAAACACTGATCCAATCATGACAGAACCCTGGAGGAAAGGGGCCCAGAATAGGGCATTTAACCTGACCTAGGCATCAAGAAAGGGTGACTAGAGGAAGAATTAGAGGTGGGTCTTGAAGAATAAGTAGAAGTTTGTCAAGAAAACAAAGGGTGCTCTGGCAGGGAGCTTAGCATGTCCAGCAGCCTCAAGACCTGAACAATCACAGCAGTGTGTCTGGAGCACATGGTAGGTGAAAGTGGAACTGACATGTTGAAGGCCCTGAAAACCAAGCTTAAAAATGCGGGAGCAGGGGTGGGGGCAGTTAGAAAAAGAAAGAAAAAAATGTGGCCTCTCCGTTTCTGGCTGCCACAGCAAGAGGAACTGCAGCCATGTCTGTCCACCTGAAATAGATGGTCCTACAAACCGCTCCAGCTTCCTGATCAAGCGGCACAAGCTGACATATAGCACTGAACCCATAAGTTGAAGGCCTCCAACTTTTTTCACTATAACGTGCTGACTGAACATAAGACGGTGGGCATGAAGCCAGACACCCAGGGCCAAAGTGTGGTGATCGGAATGAAGCAGAAATCCTGCCCGCGAAAGCCTACGTAAGGACCACCACCACCAAGAACGCCTGGGCCACCCTGGGCAGCATCTGGCACATGATCCGTGAGAACCGGGGTAGCCCGGATCTGGGCATGGCCGCCAGCTGCAGGGCCAGGCCATCCAGTGGAGACAGAAGCCCCTGATAGTGAAGAGGAAGCAGTCCTTCCCACGAAGAGCTCCTGAGCACCTCCCTCCCCTTACAGAAACTTTCAAAAAAAAAAAAAAAAAAAAGTGGCCTATGTCCAGGGAGCCAGGAGCCGCGAATATTCTCAAGCCTTGGTGAGGTGGCCTGAGGGGTAGTATCAAGGGCTTTGCCCTTTCAGCTGGAACAGCTCTCCAGTGCACGCTTCTCTTCCTTGAACCTAGCACCTAAATCAAGCGGCAGAATCAGTGCGCCCTCTGGTGGGCACTCAACGGCGATTCCGCAAAGGGCCGGAGATAGGCACACGCGGGGAGCCCAGAGTTCTTGCTACTCTGGAGGCCGGGATGATAGGGAAGGGTGATCTGGCCCAGGTAGGGGCCTCTAAGGGTGGGGATGGGCCTGGGACAGAGAGTGGGGATCGCCGCCGGGGACACCAGCAGGCACCTAGCGTCGGAGCCTCTCCCACAGCGGGAGGGAAGGAGGGTGCAGCGGGGTTTTACACCACTCCTAGGCTCCCTGGAGGTCCAGAGTAAGAGCAACACTCCCCGCTCCGGGCAAGGATCTCCACCCTGGTACCTGCCCATACCAATGGCTGGAGCGTCCACTGCCTTCGTGGCAGGACTGCCCCTCGAGTTCTGCCACGAAGAAATGAGGCGAGGACGAGAGATTCTGTAATCGTGAGGCCTGGCTGGAGGAAACAAGTTCCTTTCTCCCTAATACCTGGAGTATGATTTGATAAAGGCACCTGGAAGGACCACTGGAGCCTCACTCACCCCTCTCGCATACCCCATCTCTTATTCATTCAATCATTCATAATTTGTGAATCCTAGTGGGGGTGGGGGTGGGGACATTCATCAGTGACACAAACATTTCAAACTACAGGAGGGATCTCTGCTATGGAAGTAGGTGCCTTAAAAGGGGAAAATCTGGAAGAAGAGCAGGGGTTAACTAGGGCAAGGGTGAGATGCAAGAGAAGCAAAAAGAGCAGGACTGGTGCAAAGGCCCTATGGCCCCAGGGAAGATGACTATTCCTGGAATACTTGATGGCAGACAAAGCAAGACAACCATTCATTTATTATTATTTTTAATCCTCATCCAAGGAGATGTTTTTGATTTTAGAGAAAGAAACATCACATGCCTGGGCAACCTAGGTACATGCCCAAACTGGGAATCAAACCTGCAAACCCTCCTTGGACCCCACGACCCTCTAACCAACTGACCCACCCTGCCGGGGCTTGACCATTCATTTATTAAGTCTTGAGCAACTACAATGCTCCCTAAACATCTTGGGGGAATTGGTTCCATGCCCCTATACCAAAATTCTACCAATGCTCAAGTCCCTTATATAAAATGGTGTAACTTTAAATCATTAGATTACTTCTATTACCTAATATAAAGTAAATGATATGTAAATAACTGTTATACTGTATTGTTCAGGGATCAACTTTCTGGAATAAAAAAAAAATTGATCCACGGTTGGTGGAATCCACGAATACAGAACCTTGATTTGGGAGGGCCAACTGTACTCTATATCCCAGGCCCAGTGGTAGGAACTGGGGATGAGCCTGTCCTCAAGGATCTGGGGCTCTCGTGGGTGGGGGCTGGGGCAGGGAAACAGTAAATGATTTACTAATTGGATTAGAAGTTGGTGTAGTGCTGGGGAAAAGGAAATGTGAGAGACAAACGGGGGACGGGAGTGCGGGTTGTTTAGTATTAATGGGGTGATTTGGGAGGACCCATCTGAAGATGAGTAAGGAAGCTCAACAAAGCAGGGCCCTAAGATTCCTTATTTATTTCATTGTTCAATTACAGTTGTCCTCTAAGGTTATTTTAAAGAATTTAGTTTTTTAATGAGAGGGCAAGCCTCGGGAATCGTCAAGGGGGTGGAGGCGGTCAGACAGGGACAAGGGCGTTGGGGGAGCAGCCCCACTCTGCTAGTCCAGTGCTTCAGGTTCACTATCCAGTAGGTACAATACTTGGATACGCATGAAGGTGTCTCTAATGAGAATACTCTCGCTCTTAGGACGGCCAGAGAGACCACACTGGAGAGGTCAGTTACCTCAGGGGGGAGGCTTCCGAGAGGCACCCGCGTGGAGACCCGCGCCGAAGAAAAGGGCAAGGCTTGGGGGGTCTAGAGGTTGATATTGGGGCACCAGGGTGGGTGAGGCAGAGATCAAGCAGCGCCAGGGCTGCCTGCGGAGGGCGCCGGGGTTCTGTCCCGTAGGAGCAGCGCAGAGAAGAGCTCGACGAGGAACAACGTAAGCCAGGAGTTTCAGGAGAGCCCAGGGTTCTGAGGTGCTGCTGGGGTCAAGGGGACTGGGGAGAAAGGTCCGACTCCGTTAGGTGCACGCTCGCTTCAGGGTGGATGGGGGAGGAGTCTTACCTCGCTGTTGTGCCCAGCCCCGCGACCAAATATTTGACATTCCAGGCTTATCTGGAGGGGGGCGAGGCCCGAAAAACTGCGTTTCCCCATCCCGGGCCTGATTGGCTTAGCTCTTCTGATCGGGGACAAGCGACTGGCCCGGGTGGGCGTCAAGGGAGGGGCAGCTGCGCGGGGATTCAAGCCCGCACCTCAGGGGGAAGCGCTGGTTGCCTGAAGCCTCTGGAAGAACTGTCTACGTCCCACTCTCTCCAGACCACTGTGTCCCGGTGCGAGTCACTTCCGTACCAGGGGCCTCAGTCTTCAAATGGGGACACGCTGAAGTGTGGGTTCAATGGGCAAGGCCTCGAAGGCCCCCGCCACTCCAGGCTATTTCGCTGTCCGAAGATCCGGACGCAGCGTCTTACTTTTCCGAAATCGCGAGGTGAAGCTTCCTCCGCCTCAGTTTTGGCTCGGGCTTGGCAGCCCCAGTACTTTGTTCTTGCCGGCCTGGAGTCTCTTCTTCCCGCCGGATTCTTATTCAGTTTCTCAGTCACATAAATGGGAAAATTTGGGGGAGTTCTGGAAATGCGCCATAAAGGAGCCTCACCAAGACCGACGAGGCGAAAGGGTGCTGAGAGCCCTCCACGTGGGACTGTCCGAATTAGAATGTTGGTCCAGGATGGAGGAGGTTTTGCAGCCCGCAAGCTCACATTACAAATTTGCCGCTTGTCCCCATCCGCCACTGCGCTCACATCTCTAGGCAACAGGCCCATCATCAAAGGGGTAGGGCTATAAAAACAGGCTGGAGTTCCTACGTGGGGTAGGGGTGAGGCTCCAGGCCCGGACCATCCGGCTTAGCAGGGTCTGGAGTGCGGCTCTCTGGAGCTGGGGTGAGGAGGTGGGTGGGGGGTGTCCGCCTCTTCCTTCTGAAGCAGCAGCACTAAGGCCTGCGCACCTCTGAAAGCGCTTTGGCACCGCGGGCATTTCCTACAGAAGGCTAAGGCCTGGCCTTCCCACCTGTATCGACAAGCCCTGTTCTGTGACCTCTAAAGACTGCCGACAGCTCTAATGACCTCTGGTGATCCCCCCCACAGTTCTCTGGGTGATACCCGGTAACTCTCACCGCCCTCTTTGACCTTTGGTGACTTCTGTCACTCCAGGCCAGCGGTCGCGGCCCCCACAGCCTCCGGCTCCTGGTGATTTTCACAAGTTCCATGTGACCCTTAGGACTAGAGAGGGCTTCTGGTTTTGCCCTTTTCTTGGCGAAGGCCTCATGGTTGGAGGGGAGGAAGAGGAGGTCGCCCTAGAAATCAGCCTGCTGGGGGAGTCGGAGTCTGGGCCTTTGGCGCGCGCCCAGGCCGGGCGTGCGAGCGCGCGCGTCCTGGGGTAGGTTGAGCGGCCTTTCCTCCCTGGCTCCCAGGGCCGCCCTCGGTCACGTGGCCCACAGGGCCCGACAGGTAACTCGCCCAGAGAGGGCTGGGGCTGGTAGCTGCCCCGCCTCGCCGGGCGCCGCGGGCGGGTCTCAGCAGCGCCCACTGCGCCAGCCGGGCCGCAGGTGCCGCCCCCGACACACGGTGTCCCGCCCAAGCTGATCCGCGTCTGCCGTCGGTCGGTGCGTGCGTGCGCCTCGTCGGTCCGCGTGTGTGTAGCCGAGCGCCCCCCACAACTGCGGCCATGACTCCGCCGCCACCCCAGCCGCCGCCCCCGGGCCCGAACCCTGGCGCAGACTCTTCCGCCGACCCCCGCCCAGAACCTGGACCCCTGGTCGTACTGTTCGGGGCCACAGCCGGTGCACTGGGGCCGGATCTGGGCTCAGACGAGACCGACTTAATCCTGCTAGTGTGGCAAGTGGTGGAGCCACGGAGCCGACAGGTAGGGTGGGGTGGGGGTGGTGGGGTCCTCAAGAAGCTTCAGGACCCGAGGGGCGCTGTGGCTGATCGGTTTCCCCCGCCGCTCGCAGGTGGGGACGCTGCACAAGTCACTGATTCGCGCCGAGGCGGCCGCACTGAGCCCTCAATGCCGCGAGGCGAGTGGCCTGAGCGCCGACAGCCTGGCGCGGGCCGAGCCGCTGGACAAGGTGCTGCAGCAGGTGAGCGCCGGGGCCGGGTTGAGTGGAGACACTGCCGGACCCCAGGGACATTTCTCGGCGGGAGAGGCGGCAGGAGGCGAGGCCTGGCGCACCGCGACTTACTGGCCCGGGCGGTAGGACGGGTTCCTGTTGTTTGAAACTTTCATCGACTCCCGCGTGTGCGTGTGTCCGCGTATGCCGGGCATTCCTGGGGGCGTCTTACTTCTCAGCCTTTCTAGATACAGCCTATTGAAGGGGTGAGGATGGAGGCCGCGAGACTCTTCCCAGAGTCCCTGGCCGGCTGGGGAGCAAGGCTAAGACTGAGACGCCTCTGGGAACCTGCCCAGCCAGGTCTCCCAGAACGGTAGCCGGAAGCCGAAAGGGCCCAAGGGCCTGGGCTTGGTCATAGGTCACAGTCTTTGTCGCCTGCGTCCTCGGCCCACCCACCGGCCTGGGAGACGCTGGAGCGGGGGCGTAGGGCGGTGTCTGCCCCAGAGGCAGACGCCGCCAGGTGTAAGCTGCTCGTCTAGGCCTGCCCCAGCTGGCTGGCCAGGCGTGGGCGCTGTCCGGACCCCGCCTGGAGGTTACTGGCCTCCTGGGTGCTAAGGCCTAGAGTTGTCCCGGCCCTAGCCGAAATGGAAGGCTGTTCCTCTTGCTGTTTTCTTTTTATCTTCATTCCTGCGCTCAACCCGGGTCTGACTCTAGTGTAAGTGCTTTATACGCACAAATTCTTTAATCTTCCAACAACTCTGGTGGCTCCTAGTCTGCTACAGAAGGGCTTCCAGGCTAACCTCAGCTTGGGAGTGGGCTGAAGGAGAGCTGGGTTGCCTTGCTCTGCCAGTCTCAGAGTGTAAAGTTGGTGTGGGGGAGGTTCTTGGGGCTGTGCTTAGTGCTTATACCTGTTCTCCAGCAGCAATGGAAGCTGGGGGAGGGGTTGGGCAGCTTCAGGAGTGCCACCCCCTCTATAAGCAAACAGCTCAGTGCCAGCCGGTCGATAGGGTGTGGGTCAAAGCTCATGCTGCCCCTGGCGTCCAGGTGTGGAGCTCTGTCCTTGGAATTTCTCTGCCCCTGGGTTGGTCAGACCTAGAGGCGGGGCTGCCATTGACCGTGAGGCGGATGGGCCTCAGGCAGGACTGGGCCTCTCCCACCTGTCTGAGGGTGGTGCCTGGTCAGGGACAGGTTTAACCTGCTTTCCCCCGCCCCTTCCCACCTGCTTGTCCCACTCCACCAGGTGTTTGCTCTGGCCCCACTCCAGACTCCTGGAGTGTGTGTGATGGGGGCTTGGGTGATATGTAACTGCCCCCATTTGGCCTGGAGAAGGTGATAGTGGACTGGGGTGAGAAGGGGAACACAGAGCCAGGCCCAACAGGTGTGGCCACCTACTCCCCAAACAGGGTAGGGCTGAACATCTGGCTGAACCAGCTTTGCAGCCTGTGCCCTCTTTCTTCCTGCCTGCCCAGCGAGTCTGCCTTTCTCTCTCCCCAGTTCTCACAGCTGGTGAGCGGGGATGTAGCTTTGCTGGGCGGGGGCCCCTACGTGCTCTGCACTGATGGGCAGCAGCTACTGCGACAGGTCCTGCACCCTGAGGCCTCCAGGAAGGTATGCCACTGAGGGCACAACAGGGGGCAGGGTTCCCAGGACACCCAATGTTGTGGGGGTGGGCAGGGCAGCTCAGTTTCGCCCATTCATCCCCCTTCACATGTGCCCCCAGAACCTGGTGCTCCCCGACACCTTCTTCTCCTTCTACGACCTCCGCAGAGAGTTCCATGTGCAGCGCCCAAACACCCACCTTGCCGGGGACCTCACCGTGGCCACCATGGCACAGGGTACCTGTGACCCAGTGGGGTTAGGGTGGAGGGGTGGCAGTAGGTTGTATTTGAGTATGCGTGTTGGTGGGCTATATGCACACACACAATCGGCATTATCTACTGCTTATGTGCCTTAAGTGCCACATCTCTTAAGTCTGTTCTGGGCACATTTGGAGTGTGGCATTTGTCTACATATGTCTGGGCTGGGGGATCTGTAAGGGCATACTTGAGTAGGGCCAAAACAAACGTGCTTGTGGGGATTCCACATGGGTCTACATATGTAAGGGACTTGGGCCTACATATGTAAGGTGGGACCATAGTGTTTATACTGGTTGCCCCAAGGCCTCTCATACTGGGATTTGATTTCCTCATTGTTCTTTCTCTGCTTATAGAACTGGGGCTGGAGACAGATGCCACAGAGGATGACTTTGGGGTCTGGGAAGTGAAGACAATGGTAGCTATCATCCTCCACCTGCTCGAAGGGCCCGGTGGTAAGGTTCCCCTCACCGCCTGTCACCTGTTCTCTCAGGTCTGGGTGAATGCCTGCCTAGTAATTCCTCAAAGCCCCCTTTCCCACTTCTTACCCTCTCTGAAAGAGCATAAGGTAGAAGACCCTTTGGCACCTCCTCATCCTCTTCAACTGTTCTTTTGGGTTTTTTTTAAAGGTTTTATTTATTTACTTTCAGATAGAGGGGAAGGGAGGGAAAAAGAGAGGGAGAGAAACATCAGTACGTGTGAGATTGGTTGCCTCACAAGGCCCCCAACCGGGACCTGGCCCGCACCCCAGGCATGTGCCCTGACTGGGAACTAAACCAGTGACCTTTCGGTTCACAGGCTGGCACTCAATCCACTGAACCACACCAGCCAGGGCCAACTGTCCTCTTTTTTTATGGACTTTGGTGGAGAGAGCCCCCTCCACCAGACCCTGCTGACCCCCATGTCGTCATCTCTTAGGTCAATTGTTTTCGAAGCCTGAGGTGATAAAGCAGAAATATGAGACAGGACCTTGGTGAGTGCAGGGCAGGGATGGGGTGACAACAGTTGGACAGCTCTGACCCTGGGCCTTCCCCCAACAGCAGCAAGACCGATGTGGTGGACAGCGAGACTGTGGTTCGGGCCCGTGGGCTGCCCTGGCAGTCATCAGACCAGGACGTGGCTCGCTTCTTCAAAGGGCTCAACATTGCCAGGTGGGTGCAGCAGGATGGGTGGGCCCAGGAGGGCAGGCCTACCCAGGAGGCACTAACGTAGCACTGGCTCCACAGGGGTGGTGTAGCACTCTGCCTCAATGCCCAGGGCCGCAGAAATGGCGAGGCCCTCATCCGCTTTGTGGACAGCGAGCAGCGGGACCTAGCGTTGCAGAGACACAAGCACCACATGGGTGTCCGCTATATCGAGGTGGGGATTTGGGCTGGGAGTGGAGCAGTGCAGAGCTGAGGCCAGCCAGGCCTGAGACCCATAGACTGTCCCCACTATACCCACAGGTATATAAAGCAACAGGAGAGGAGTTTGTAAAGATCGCAGGGGGTGAGTTGTGCTCCCAGCAGTACCTAGCTCCCCCTGGTTCTTGACCCATGTCCCACTTCTCCACCACCCCTTGCCTTTCTGCTCTCCTGTGTGCCAGGTGTGGATGGGTAGTTGGAAGGGCATGAATGAAGAGAGTGGTGACTCTCATTCCCCCCACCAAGGCACATCACTAGAGGTGGCTCGTTTCCTGTCACGGGAAGACCAAGTGATCCTACGGCTTCGGGGACTGCCCTTCTCGGCTGGGCCAGCAGACGTGTTAGACTTCCTGGGGCCAGAGTGTCCAGTGACTGGGGGTACCGATGGGCTGCTCTTTGTGCGCCACCCTGACGGCCGGCCCACAGGTGATGCCTTTGCACTCTTTGCCTGTGAGGAGCTGGCACAGGCTGCCCTGCGCAGGCACAAAGGCATGCTGGGTAAGCGATACATTGAACTCTTCCGGAGCACTGCAGCCGAGGTGCAGCAGGTGAGCACCAAGGGCTGCCCCGCTCCCATGTGCTTTCCCAGGGTGCCCCTCCCATCGCCTGTGTCCCCGGCCTACTTGGTATGACCAGCCTGTTGCTGTCTTCCTTACTAGGTCTTGAACCGCTATGCATCCAGCCCACTCCTTCCCACATTGACTGCTCCACTGCTGCCCATCCCCTTCCCACTGGCAGCTGGGACTGGGAGAGACTGTGTGCGCCTTCGAGGCTTGCCCTATACAGCCACCATCGAAGACATCCTGAGCTTTTTAGGGGAGGCAGCAGCTGACATCCGGCCCCATGGTGTGCACATGGTGCTCAACCAGCAGGTGAGGCTGATGCCAGTAGAGGGACACACTTACATAGGGAGGAGTGTGTGGTTGGGAGTAAAGCAGTCTTGTTAACAGGACAGACTACTTATAAGATGATGTGCACAGGGTCGGCCATCGGGCGATGCCTTCATCCAGATGACGTCAGCAGAGCGGGCCTTAGCTGCTGCTCAGCGGTGCCATAAAAAAGTGATGAAGGAACGCTACGTGGAAGTGGTCCCCTGCTCCACAGAAGAGATGAGCCGTGTGCTAATGGGGGGCACTTTGGGCCGCAGCGGCATGTCCCCTCCACCCTGCAAGCTGCCCTGTGAGTGTCCAGGGCTGCGGAAGGAAGAGGCATGTGGGGGTCAAGGCTGCCGTAACCCTCACTTTCTATAGTGGGGACTTCTTTCTGGCTGCTCCACCCAGAGCAGTGCCAGGCTCCCTGAAGATGTGCTCTCTACTTCTGCCTCTAGGCCTCTCGCCACCAGCCTATGCCACCTTCCAGGCCACCCCGACACTCATTCCCACTGAGACAGCAGCTCTCTATCCCTCTTCAGCGCTGCTCCCGGCTGCCAGGGTGCCTGCTGCCCCGACTCCTGTTGCCTACTACCCAGGGCCAGCTACTCAACTCTACATGAACTACACAGCTTACTACCCCAGGTACTCTGCTGCTAAGAGAACTGCAAAGACCTGCCCCCTGTCCTGGTTTGGAGGAGGATCATGATCCCCTTCCAAGGCTAGATATCCCAAGGTCCGTGAAACCTAGGGAGTGAAAAATGTGGACTGGCTAATGCTAACTACAAGCTAGAATGGGAATGACGTAGAGGCTATGGTTTTAGGAAAGGGGAACTGAACTAAGCATAAGGCAGAGGCAAGGGAAGGAGGAGGCAGGTGTTGGCCTAAGCCATAGGTGGGACTGAATTACTAAAATCCTGCTTTTCCCACCCTAGCCCCCCAGTCTCCCCCACCACTGTGGGCTACCTCACCACTCCCCCTGCTGCCCTGGCCTCTGCTCCTACCTCAGTATTGTCCCAGCCAGGCACCCTGGTCCGTATGCAGGGTGTCCCATACACAGCTGGCATGAAGGATCTGCTCAGCGTCTTTCAAGCCTACCAGGTGAGTTGTGACTGGAGGTTTTGGGGGCCTGGCTAAGCTTAGAGCTCCCTGCCCTAAATCTCTGTCCCTTCTGCAGCTAGTCCCTGATGACTACACAAGCCTGATGCCTGTTGGTGACCCATCTCGCACAGTGCTACAGGCCCCCAAAGAGTGGGTGTGTTTGTAGGTGAGGGAATCAGAAGGTAAGAGCTAGCTGATGTCCTCAGCTAACATGTCTCTCCGGTGTCCAGAGAACCAGTGCCCTCAACCCGGTGGCTTCTTGCTGAAAGCACTCAGAGGAGCTCAAGCCTGAGCTCCATCCCTCACTTACTGTTACGCTGTTCACCCCAAAGATGATGGCTGGACCCTGCATGCAGGGCTGGGGGTGGAATGGTGCTACCCTGCTCCCAGTGGCCTGACCCGGGCCTCTTGAGTAGCACCCAGAGAGCCTTCAGTCTGTCCTAGATATGGTCCATGCCCACAGATGCTGTGGGGCTGACATCCACAGCAGGCTTGCCTTTTTTAAAATGCAAGCCCTGATACCTTCAACGTATGACTCCTGGGAGCCTCTGAGTAAAGATCCCAATGGTGGGGGAGCAGAGAAACCAAAAGTGCTGGCCCCAGCCCCCAGGATACTTGGACCTCAATGGCCACGTTGTTCCAGGGGTGGTCCCACCTAAGGGTAGTAGCCCTTCCAGCTTGGCACGAGAAATATCAGATGGCAAAACCACAGACTGTTTTGATGGACTGTACTGCAGTATCCCCAGAGGACACTAGGGGGCAGGAGGCCCTCACATAAAAACTCAGGCTTGACTTTTAAAGGGAATTTTCTGCCTACTTTTCACGCATACCTTGGGCAGCCCAGTTGTCCTGAACTCAGCAGACACCATGGAATGTCCTTTGCACCCATTAAAGGGAGCAGAACTGAAGCTTCACAAGGAATTTGGAACTCTACCCTCTCCATAAAATATACAAAGGTTCCTAACCACATGGACTTTTTAAAAGCCAAAGTACCCTTAGCTTTGGCCCCGAGTCAGGGGCTCCACACCAGCCCCAAGTGGAGGAAAACTCAGGCAGATTTCAAGGAGACTGTTGACCTGTCATCGTTTATTATTATTTCAGCACTGTAACTGAGGAGCCTGAATTGCTGGCTCTTCCCTTTGTATTTGTGTAAGGAGCACTGTACTCCTATAAAAGGTTTTAAAATACAAAATGTACAAGAAAACACAATCCCGAGTGCTGTAAACATAACTGAGAACCAGTTCCTTAACTGAACATCATTCATTTTTTAAAATACAAGGTTTCAACTTGAGCCCATCTGAGCCTTAAAGACAACCATCTGTTCTGATATCAAAAACAGTTTCTCAGGCAGACCCAGCAGAACTCTGATGATAGTGACTAGCCCTGGGCAGCAGTAGGCTGCAACCCAGGCAGCAGCACCACACTTGATCCTGGAGACAGCTGTTCCTTTTAAAGCCGTTTTCAGCCATGTTTCTCTGTGTATTTCCAGTAAGCAGAAGGCTGCTCATCCCACTCTTCTACCCAGATCTTGCACGGGCTAGAGGGGGGATTGGTGCTAGCACATGCCCAGCTGCCAGTGCTGCTACTAGAACTCAATTTGCATAGTCCAATGGATCTGTGCTTTAACACCACTATGTTGCACAAAAAATGTAAGTCTTTATCTACAAGGCCAAAAAATATTGACTTCAGACCAAAGCTTTTACAAAGCTGATACAAAACTGCTTACATAGTATACAAAGCTCTATTTTAAAATTTAACTTTTATTTTAAATAGGAAAGCATTTCTAGTGCTACAGGCATCAAGGTATTTAAAAGGCATCAAAATTTGGTGCATAGCAACTCTGGATCATAGAGACTTATTTTTGAGGACAGAGCAGAGCAACCCCCAATGGATCCTGCAAGGGGACCTTATGCAAGAAACCCATGTGAGGCAGCTACACCAGGGGCAAGAGGGTGGAGGCAAGTCTGGCCAGCTCTTTGGAAATTCATCTTGGGGGCTAGCCCCCACAACCTCCAAAGGAAGCTGTGCGCTTCCAACCATAGTCCTGAAAAAGCTCACTCTCCACACTGACATAAAATTCACTTTCAAAGAAAATATGAAAACACTCAGTCCAAGAGGGACCAGAGCGATTTATAGAACTAGTTTTAAGGAACAAATCTAAAACACGATTTAAAGCCAAAAAAAAAAAAAAAAAAAAAAAAATTACCATACTTACTCATCCTGGGTCAACAGCTCCTCCCTGGCTGACTACAGGTGGTGAGCAATGAGCTGGCTCCCTCTGCCCAAGACTCACTTGGCCTTAGTAGAGAATCCTGGCATCTAGGACCCACAACCCCCTGGAATAACAGCATCAAACCTTTGACCAGCCCAGCACACTGCTTCCTATGTAGGCACTCAAATGTACTTTCTGAATAAATGAAAGTACATTACTTCATCTGAAAACATACTGCAAACTTCAGGAGCTCTGAAATAGGCCCAGGTCTTGGACCAGGTAACTTATCCCATTAATGGGAGGGGGTAAACATGGGGCTTGAAAAAAGCACCCGAGTTGGGCACCTCCTTTGGTAGACAGCAGGCTGGAGTTTCTTGCTGGCCCTGGCCTTGAGTGCCAGCCTCACCTGCAACAGCACCACGGCATCTTTGGTCTGGAGGGTCAAGTCTATGATGCTACCTCATTTTTGGATTTGCCTCAAAGCCTTTTTGGGAAAAGGTTGTTTTTTAGGCCCTGCAGATGGAACAGGGTAGGCCAGAATCATTTGAGGCTGTAAACAGAATGAGGGATAAACCTTCCATGCCAGTGTGAACATTAGAAACTTGCCATCTTGCCAGAGTCCTGCATTTTCTCTGCTCCTGTTCTGAAGCATAGCTCATTTGTGCTTAGCTCCTGACAAAGCCTGGCCCCTAGAGATGAGTTAGAACCAGCAAAGTTGCTTAAACCACTGTGAGACTGTGGCTTCAAAGGTTACAGAGTAGCCAAATGCTGATGCTCCCACTTGGAAAAGGAGACATAAGGGAAGAGCACTTGTTTGTAGGATGGCAGGAAATTAAAGCTACCAAACTAAGACCTCACCTTTCAAAGTCACCTTGTAAATAGCTATCTCACCTAAGGCCCTGAGGGAAAAAAGCAATTTCAACATGGAGTCAGAATGGAGAGACTGCAAGAAAATTATCTAGAAAGTTACAAAAAGGCTATGCTCTGGAATGTCATTTTTTATTCCAACACTTCAATGATTGGAATGGTCTCTTCTCATTTTATCTAACAGTTTACTTTTATAAAGAGGTATAAGCTACATTTGGCTTTATTTCCCATGAATCTATGAAAGGCTTCAGGACATATGCTTGAGTTTCTGAGGCATAGGTGTGGGCTTGGGAGAATTTTTGTCTTTTATATTTGCCTCTGGAAGGTTTTATCAAAAGTTTCTATTTTAAAAATGTCATTAAAGCTAAAGGGTCCTTCAATGACCATAAAGCAGTACAAATCACCAATCCTAGCTAAGCAACCAAGTCACCTGAAAAAGCAGCACCTCTGAAATGAAGAGCCTGCTGCATTCACACTCAAAGCACCCATCATATAAAAGTATCCTATTCAAAAATAAAAAGCAAAGCTCATTTCCCCAAAGCTCAAAACAGCCTATGCTGCTCCTGTTCTTTTATGAAATCTACCAAAGGCCTGAGGTGGAGGAATGCTGCTTTCCCCACAAACTGTGACCTCCAATTCCTGGTGCCAGTCCTTAAGGCCGCAGAGTTGGAAACCCAAGGTCCAAGGAGAGAAACATGCTGTGAACTATATGGTGGTGGTGGACGCAAGGTTGCAGCAAGCACTGTCAGAGCCCATCAGATCTTCCTAAATCCAGGGATTCGGGACCAGAGAGCGGAGCCTGCCTGCTCACCCCTGTTCCTTGGGAAACAGAAATCTGGGACATGTCTCTCCCAATGATCTCGTTCACTGGAAGAAAAAAAAAAAAAAAGGAAAGTGATTAGTGTTGCGGGACTGATCATATGATGCTCAATGCCAAGCTCTATTTCAAAGACATTTTTTCCTTTGTCATGGCTTTCTATGAAGGTAAAGGCAATGTTTGAAACCCGCTTCTGAGGTGAAAGGAAATATTCCATAAGCTTTTCCAGATCCCTCTTTTTCTCCTTTTCAGTTTAGTCTGGGATGGGAAGGGGGATGGCTGAGAGAATAGAGAAATGTTCTCTCTCATTCTAAAGGCTCATGCTCTAGAGCACAGGATAGGATACTTTTGAAATGTGTCCACATTAATCTAACTTTTCCTTAATTTGCATCCTTTTAGGAGAGTTTTCCTTTTCTGATCTTGCAGTATGCCTCATATATAAAGTAAATGAAATAAATGCTTTGGTGAGAGCAATACTGAGATTTTGGGGTTATTTTATTACCCTATGCTAATGAAAGCATACTTTAATTATGTGGAGGTATATGTATTGTTTCTTATCCCTTCTGACTGCAGGCCCTTGCTTTTCTGTTGGTTTCCATGACTAAGTGCTCTGTGAGGTCCAGTGCAAAGATTTTTCAATTTTAAGGAACCAACACAGAAGGGAACACCCAACTTAAGAACCTTTAGTTCTCTTACCATGAGAACTCTTTGCTTTGAAGTGAAAATTCCTTGCCTTATCAGCTAAAGATTCTATACTAATCCCACGCTTCTGCATATACTCAAAGAACTGAAAACATATATCCACATAAAAACTTGTACTCAAATATTCATAGCAGCATTATGTAACAGCCCCAATGAAAGCTCAAATGTCTACAAAGTAATGACTAGATAAAGAAAATGTGGCTTATCCATAACAATAGAATATTATTTGATCATAAAAAGAAATACAGTTCTTATATATGCTACAGCATGGATGAACCTTGAAAATATGCTAAGTGAAAGAGGCCAGACACAAAAGGCCATAAATTACTTGATTCCATTTGTAGAAATTGGCCAGCACACAGACAGGTAGATGCCAGTTGTTATGGGAGTGACTGCTAATGCCCATGGAGTTTCTTTTTAGAATAATGAAAATGTTCTAAATACCATTAAAAAAAAAAGCTTAGTCAACAAAAAACGGTACTATCATTACTTAATTAAATCATTTATGAGGTAAGTACAAGTAAAAAAAAATACTAAGTGAAAAAAATATTCTAAAATTAGATGGTGGTGATGGTTGCACAACTATGTGAATATACTAAAACCACTGAATTACATACTTTTGAGGTTGCTGTAAACAGAAATAGGCCAAGACAAAAAGTTTCTATATTTAGAATTTGATGTACTCATATAATGAAGGAGATACTAACAATCACTTTTTAAAATCTTCAAGTATTAACATCTAATTTTACAGTTTAGGTAGACAAGAAAAATTCTAACTCATACTCATTATGGCTATAAGAAAAAGGGAACTAACATTTAGTCATTCCACAAATAGTTATTGAGTATCCATGGGCTTTTACAACTGAAATTTTACATCTTATTTCAATTAATCTTCAGAACATTTTAACATCACTACCACTTCACAGATCAGTTAATTGAATCTTTGACAGTTCACATAATTTGCTTAGTAAATGGTCATGTTAGCTTCAATATACGTGTCACTTTTTGGAGACCAAAAGACTAGAGAAGCACAGAAATCACTTGGATAAAGAAAATGCGAAGGACCTGGAAAAATGTGAAACTGGGAGAAGGAGAGTGTAGTCTGGTAATGGGAAGAGGAAGAGTGGAAAGAAGGACTGATTCATCACCACCCCCTAGGTTTTGAGTGTAGAAAAAATGGTGCTCTCATCATTGGAAAAAAGCCGAGGAAGAATTTAGAGGGGGAAGGTGATAGGGAGGTTAGGTCTGGAATAGGAAATTAGAACATCCAAACGGAAAAATCCTGTGACAGGGACTACAGTGAATGGTCAAAGCAGTAAGAAATTTAGGCATCTTCATGCTAGAGATCTGGAAGAATGGGAGTAGTTTTATAGTTTCACTGAAGAGCAGGAGGCTGAAAGTAGTGAGTGGGGATAACATTGTGCCCTGATAGGACCTGGGAAATCACATATGTAAGCAGAAGAGTAGCCTAGAAATTAGGTTTGATTTGAAAACATGCATTGCCACTAAATCCACATGTGTCCTTGGACAAGTTACTTATATAAGATTCCATCTCTTTCAAGCGTTAAAGTCTGTGGTTTTAATGTCGACAATTTTTTTACTCTTTAAAAAATATTTACTTATTTTTTAGAAAGAAGGGGAAGGGAGAAAGAGGGAGAGAAGCGTGTGAGAAACATCAATCCGTTGCCTCCTGCACGTCCCCAACTAGGGAACTTGCCTGCAACCCAGGCATGTGCCCTGACTAGGAATTGAACCAGCAACCCTGAAGCTCGCAGGCCAGTGCTCAATCCAGTGAGCCACACTAGCCAGGGCTCAATGACAGATTTTTAAGTGGCAGCACTCAGTAGGCAAAGAAATGAAGGAGGAGGATTTGGTTTAACTGATTAGTATTTAATGTAGAATAGTAAAGAAGTAGGGACTATAAGCTAAAGAAATCTAATTTAAAAAGGGTGATGATTAATCAGTGCTGATGAGCTAATAATCACTGATTGAGACCAACTTCTTTCCTTTTTAATTTTTTAAAAATTTAATAGTTATTGTATTTTTTTGCATTACCATTTAGTCTCCTTGTACCTACTTCCCCGCCCTCCCAGGCCAATTTTTGAAGGTCACTGATATGGACCTATGAAGGTCTTTGCCAGAGAGAGGAAGCTTTTAAAGTAAATTTTCCAGATTAGGACTTATCGACTGTTCATGATGGTTTGCAAAGAAGGGTGGAATTAATCTAAATATATTCTTCACTGCTAGAAATAACTAGCAGTTATGGAATGTAAAGTTTCTATGCACATAAAAAATTACAAGAATGCTTTCCAGCACAACACATTTTGTTTTCATTTTCCTCCTAGGTATAACGGAGATTTTTTTTTTTTTATTGTTAAAACCTCATACAGTATTATAGTGAGAATAATAAAGGGAACATAAATAATTAAGGCAGCCCTTGGCATCTCTGTTATTCCAAACCACATAATAAATAAGAAACAGAGTTTTCAGTGTGGATCTATGGGCTAGCCTCATCATGTTAAGAGGGAGCACAAGGATGGCCCATGGTATCTGTGCATGACCTCTAACATTACTCATCATATTAGATTATCAGTAGGCATCGCGATCTGTCTCTCAAATAGGTTGTAAGCTCCGGAAGGGCAAGGGCCTTATTACTGAGAAAACATCAATTTCTGATGACTGAATAAATGGATTCTACTTTGATGTAATTACTTGGACACTATTTGGAAATAGTACACTGAAAGCTCATTAGGTGCTAGGATAGGAAGGGGACCAGAAAATGTTGTTGAGACTAACACAAGACATCTGATTTTGGTTTTGACAGTGTCTATTTTAGACAGGTTTCACAGCAGTGGCAAAAAGCCAAATAGGGAAGTACCCAGCTCACATTCAAGTCACCTTTTCCTATGACTTACCCTTTCCAAAGACGGTAATTTCAGAGATGTTCCAGGCAGCCATGCGACACACCTTTTTCAATTCTTATCTCATTGTTCAAGTTTTAAAACTACAGAGTGATAAGAATGGTGCTTTATCATCACCAAAAATCACGACTGTTTTCCTGTTGTTTTTTTTTTAAAGATATGTTGCTGAGAAGTATTTTCTTTTTTTGAGGATGAGTGTTTCCTTTATTTTTTAAAGATTTTATTTACTTATTTTTAGAGAGGGAAAAGGAGAAAGAGAGGGAGAGAGAGAAAAACATCAATTACATTGATTAACTGCCTCTTGCATGCCCTTAACTGGGGATCTGGTCCACAACCCAGGCATGCGCCCTGACTGGGACTCGAACCAGTGACCTTTCAGTTCGCAGGCCAGCACTCAATCCACTGAGTCACACCAGCTATACTTTTCTCGTGTTTTTATGAGGACTTCAATGCCTACATTTTCTTGAGGATGAAGGTCTGTATCAAGCATTATCTAGTCCCTTACCAAATACACTTTGGTAAGTATGAACCCATTGTTTTCTGAAGTGGCCAAGCACTGTCACTTAAGCAAAAGCCTGATTTGAAGCTGTGTTATTTTTGCTCCCCCTTACCAAAATTCTGCTGTTTTTTTTGTCCGGTGAGCCTAACCTCACTTAGCTGAAGACACCTGGAAAGTTTTTGACAGTTTAGGATTTTTTTTTTCTTCTGAGAGTACATTTATTAAAGCTGGGGAGAGTAAAACAAGTAAGGGTCTAGGAAAGAAGCGAAGGAGACTAGGCAGGGCTGCTCTCTGCTCACTGAAAAGTCAGAGTAAAGGGGGCCCTGGAGACAGTTCAGGGGTTAACCTGGGACAAGCTGTCACTGCCCACTGCTCCCCTGGTTGCAAGTTTCATGGGGGCTGTCAGAGTTTAAGAGATAATTCACTCAAAAAAAAAAAAAAAAAAAAAAAAAAAAAGATTTGAGTGGCCGTGCTCCAAAGAGGACATACCAACAAGTTTAGGATTTTAAGACTACAATAAAGCCAAGACTGTCCACAAAAAGCACTCAAGCTGACTATACTCAGATATACTTTAATTCATATTAACATTAATGTATAACAGCTAGTAGATTTGAATTCCTGTAGGGCAGGGGACCTACTTTGTCTATCTTTGTTCTCCACTAAATCCTTAGTGCTTGGTACATATTAAGTGCTGAATAAAATTACTTTGCCATTGAATCTTTAATATAACTTGGGGACTTCAAAAAAACCCCAAAAACTATTCTCAAATAATCACTACAGGTGAATAAAGAATATGAATTTTAGGACAGAGTGTCAGAACTGTAACAAAGCAGTCCTTCTACTGTCCGTTAGCGGTAACTTGAGTTTACTGTGGTATGTAAGCCCACTGCTCTCCTTCAACCCTCCCCACTTCTCCTTTAGGCTGGGG